TCTGAAGTCCTAAACAAGTAAACAACCATTACACTGAATATCCATTGTGGATGTTCTGTTCTTTTAGTCCTATATATGTTTTTTGAAATCCAGACAAATTATTATGTAAAACTTCCACCATCATTAGTTTGGCAATCTTTCGTAGCACCTTTCAACCATGAATATTAAACTAATCAAATAAAAACTTTTGCTGGATTAAAATTGTGAACCAGGCTGAAATCATTTTTATTTATATATTTATAAATTAATCATTTTTTATTGAAAGACTTCCTTTTAAAATCAAATTAAATCAACAGTTAACCACCAGAGTATGCATTTTTTCTGGAATACGTTTTTGCTGATTGTTTATTTTCTCGAATATATGTCTGCAGGCCACTCAATCTGTTGGCACTAAGGGATGGAGATCCTATGTGATATTGAAAGAGTATAAGTTTTAGAGATATTTAAAGAAAGGTTAATATCTTAACTTTTCGCTTAGTTCTTTAATAGCAAACATGTGCACATCACGATAGTTTGTAAGCAAGTTCTAATAATTATCTTTATCTCATGATTCATCAACATGGTGGACATCAAACATAATTCATAATTGTTTAAATATCATTGCTTAGATTGTATTTAGGAACTTTTTAATTTGGTATAGTTTTCAATTTGCTATAGTTTCAATTTGACTACTTCATTCAGTTCATTGAGTGAAAGAAAACGAATACATGATTTCAATAGATTTAGCAATGATTGAAGTATTACATGATAAAGAATGCATGGCTTCTATGTTTTTTTGTGTTATTGTGTTAGTGCTTGAAAATTGCTATATGATCCGGTTTTGGTTGTTCCATAAAACCGACATCATTGCACCTTTCTTTTTTCTTAGACCTACATATATTCGGTACAAATGTATTTCATGTTATTTCATGTTCATCGTTATATTTTTCACTTATGAGTTGTTGAAGTTATTAGTAATAAGTCTAATATAATGTAAAAGAAGAAAATTATTCTATATAAGAAATCTTTTGATTAGGCTAATGAGTTTTTTTTGACAGATTAGGCTGATGACTTAGGATCCCACATCGCTGCAATTACATTTTTAATTCAATACTCTTTAAGCATTAACGATATTTAAAGAAAATATTTTTCATATTAATTAGGTATCATATACATGCATTCATACGTATATACTTTTTCATACACACTCATATACGGAGTATATGTTTATGTTCTTTTCCATTGCTTCAACTTCTTGCTACAAATTAGTTCTAACAGGCATCAGTTGTTCACACGAAGCTAAGAATTAGCTTTATGTTTTTAGAATAGTTTTGGTGTACAGCTTAAAGTGTATATATGTGAAATCCTATTAAGGAGTCTTCCGTTTCTTATCCAGTTAGCCAATTGTATTAATTATGGGGGTGTTTGGTAAACAACGTTTCTGTCGAAAAATGGCGGTTTGACCACTTTCAGCGTTTTCAATAAGTGAAAAAGCTGTTTGGTAAATAGCTGTTCGACACACTAGCATTTTCGGACGAAAACGCTGAAATGAAAACGCTACTAATAGGAGAGTTTTGGATTGACGTTTTGAAAAAATGGTGTTTTCTATTAATTTTATGGTCAAAGAGCTAAATTACTAAACATCTTTTAACAATCCGCCAAATTATTCCGTTAGTTAAACCCATTGACTGAATCTGCTATTAACAACCCGCTAACATAATCCGCTATCCGCTAACCGCTAACCGTTGAATGCCAAACATGCCCTATATCTGAATAATTAACAAATTCACAAAATCAACATAATTTCTCTTCTTATTTTTGTGATATATAAGAAAAGAATATTATAATATTTAAATAGTGCTGATAACAAAATCATTATTTTCTTTTACGAAGTGTTGATAACTTGCTAATATGTGCAGTTTTTTGAAGACATATCTCTGTCTATCTCAACTCTGTATTGCAGAATACCATTAGGTCTCTTCAACAGAATTGATTGGAAATATTACGGATTATGAATTGAATAGATGAGTATTGGTTGTTATAAGCGCATTTATGATATGAACATCACAATGTCAATGATAACTAAAGAGTATTATTACTTCTTCACTACAGCTAGATCATCACAGCTTGATGGTAATAATATTAATATCACCTTATGAGGATTTTGATCTTTTTTGCAGATTTTGCAATATACAGATGGACAAAGTCATCTCAGTTTTGTGACTCAAACATTTTTTTGTCCTGTTTTACATTTTTCTTCTGTCTCATTAAGTTTGTCTCATACCATATTTGGTAATATTTGAGTGATTGGAATTCATTCTTAAATTATTTACACTTTATCAATTCAATATCAACCACACAATTCTATTTTTTTATTTTAAAAACCACATCACACCCATTTGCCCCAAATTTAGGGGGACAGGGGCCGTATTTGTGTAAAATATGCATTCCTCATCATGCTATCTTCCTAGGTACCTTGCTTTACACTTTCGAGGTGGAACGGGTGAAAGAGAACTTCTTCCACGTTTTTGAAAATATTTGAAAATCAATAAAACGAATAAATGAGTATATTTCCCAAAAAGAATTGCTTCTCCAATCAACGAGAAAAGAGAGGTTCATTTCTAAATATCACATGTCTTATTTATTCTTTACAATGACATTCAATAATGGTTACACAATAATAAAAATTCCAACCGAATTTTTCGTTATGTAATTTGATGTTAAGCTACTAGAGCACTATAAAAAGGGGAGTATTAGACTATTAGAGCTATCTTGGTATAATCAATTGAAATTGGAGATGAAATCAAGGGCTATATTCAATCCTCACTCCCAATTAATATTATTTGAATAGATACTTTCTTATTTACTTACACATCACTAACTAAATCATAGTACTTATTTAAACTAAACACATTGAAATTACCATTTTATGTTAAAAAAGAGAAAATCTAAGTTGTCATTTGTAGATAAGTCGGATGTAGTTCAAATAGGAGAATTTGAATCATTGACAATTATTATTTTACTTTTAAGACTGACTTATACTTTATAATATTCACTTATTATATTCTGATTTTTGAAAATGTAGAATTCTAAAAAGTTATTTGCTTTCATGTTTGATGAGATTATGATAAAAAATAAATGCACCCACTTCATGTCTAATAAAATTAGTATTCACTTATTATATCCCTTTATTAATCCTAGGTGTCTAGCTTTCCTTAATTCACTCTTTAGCTATAGCAATACCACGTGGCCATTTTCACTTCAAAATACCGAAGTCTCCAATTGAAGTGGAAGGGAACAGCCGTATGAGATGGAGTTGGTAGGGCCTAATAACCTATATAAAAAAAACCAATTCTCTTTAAATTGTTATAACTTTTTTTATTTGTGTTCCAATTTTTACAAAAAATATATCACATTTCATAATTTTTTGTGATCTTTCATATGAGATCAATATTGAATATATACAAATATAATTTATTAACGCTCTATTATTATACTTAAATTATCTATATTCAATTTTCTGATCTATTTTGCTATGTGAATAATAGGGGAAATTATTGTAGGTGATCATTTTAGCTACATTTCATATAATGTATTTTTTTTATTTCATTAATAAAATTCTTTTAATTTAAATTTATCCATAACCAATTTCAGTAGAGAGAATTCCCTAAATAGGAGTAAAAACGTTTTGAGCGACCGAATTTTCTCTTTCATATGTAGTGTTTTTAAGTATTATTATGAGATATTTCCCAAAATAGGACTGTTATGTTTTTCTAACAATTGAATGGGAGAATTTTGTCACTCATATGTAGTGCTTCTTGCTATTACTAGATAAGCTTGCTAACAATTGAGCGGGAGAATTTTCTCTCTCATATGTAGTGCTTTTAGGTATTAGCATGTTAGAAATAAGTTTGCTAACAAATGATCGGGATAACTTTCTCTCTCAAATGTAGTTCTTTTAAGTATTCCATATAAGATAGATAAGTCGGCTCATAGTTGGACAAAATAATTTCCTCTCTCATATGTAGTGTGTTTAGTTATATAAAAATAAGAAGATAACATTCGTACAATTGAGCGAGATAATTTTCTCTCTCATATGTAGTTCTTTTAAGTATGATGATCATCCGACTAACAATTGAGCGGAAAAGTTTTCTCTCCCATATGCAGTTCTTTTAGGTATATAAGAAGATAAGAAGATAAGTCGGCTAACAATTGAGCTGGAGAATTTCTTCTCTCATAAGCATTGTTTATAGATATAAGAAGATAAGTTTGCTAATAATTGTGCGAACTGCGAAATGATTTTTTTTTCCTCTCATATGTTGTGCTTTTAGGTATTAGAAGATAAACTTGCTTACAATTGAGCGAAAGATCCTTTCATATATGTAGTGTTTTTAAGTACAACATATAAGATAAGCCAGCTGACTAACAATTGAGTGGGAGAATTATGTCTCATATTTAGTTCTTTTACGTATAAGATAAACCATCTAACAATTTAGCAGGATAATTTTTTCTTTCATATGTTAGCACTAATTTAACCACTGAGTTGCAAGTTTTTATTTAAGTAATATCGTTAATTTTAATATTTATTGTATTCACTTAATGTCACTCACTTATTGTACTCACTTTTTTTAGAGTAGTATTAATTTTTAATTTAACTTAATAATCATGAAAATTAATAAGTAGCAAATTCTAATGACTGGTGTTAGTTAATTTTCACATATTTATTGTGTGGGCTTATATGTTATGGTATTAGCTCATTGTACTCTTAGTTTTCGAAAATGTAGAATTCTAAAAAGGTTTTTTGTTTTTTATTTTAATATTTAATTAGATCATAAGTAAAATATATGCATCAATTGCTTCTTCCCGTGCGTATGCACGGGTACCTAGTATAAGTATAGAAACAAAATAATCGAATAAGGAGTATGTTAAAGAAACACGAAAGCATATTAAAGTAATTCAACCCTACATATATATAAAATCCCATATAATAGTACGTAGTATCACGCAGCCGCCATTATCATATCCGATCCCCCAGCCCTCTAATTCACAGAAGCATTTAACATGAAGATCCATGACCCAGTTTCAACCCTACCATCAGAGATCAGCCGCGATATTTTGTTAAGATTGGATCGAAAGCATCTGTTCATCGCCCAATGTGTGAGTAAAGAGTGGTATTCTTTCGTAGAGTCCATCAAGCTTACCTTTACCGGGCAACCACGCATTCACATCCTCTGGAGCCGTTACAGGACAACAGACGGAGTTGAGATCCATGACAACAGGCCCTGATCTTCTCACTCAACGCATGTCTGAGTTCAATTCAATGAGAATGCATATTTGTCTGTATTAAATGACCGTTGGTTGAGGGTACCGTTTTGGGTTCATGCAATGGGTTTGTGCTGCTTGGGTTTGGAGAACACATTGTGTTGTGGAACCCACATATAGGCTGGTCTACCAAAGTTCTTGAACTTCGAAACCTCCGACATTATGACCAAACTGTGGTCGGAGGGCTGTGTTACGATCCATATATACACGTCAGAGTACAAAGTTGTCTTATTGCTTTATCCGGCCACTGACCATAATGGTCAGTTTGTCGTTGTTTCAAGCGTGAAAAATAAAGGTTGGCAAAAAGTGCCCTTCCCCTATAACTTTGCCACTTCTCGAGCCGGAGTCAGTTTTAACAATACACTCCATTGGATTGTAAGTGACATAAAACTATTTTGGGGAAAGAGCGATGATCAAATAAAATGGGACTACTGTTCTGGGTGCAATAAGATAGTTTATTTCGATCCGGTTGATGACACATTCAAGATATTGCCCTCTCCTACACGGATCAATCCAAAAGAAGAAGATAACATAGAAGGCACGGGAATCATAGATGGATGTTTCTGCATGGCTCGGGGGGACAAAAAGAGCCAGCTGATCCATGTATCAGTTATGAAAGAGTATGGAAAACAAGAGTCATGGGTCACATACTTTGTCATCACCTTATACGAACATGGAGTACGTGAGCTTTACAACTTCGAGTTTTTCTCTCATAATGGGAAGGTATTAATGAAGGGTTGCTATATCGGGAGAACATGTGTGTATGATATCAAAGAAGAGAAGCTAGAAGAGACAAAGTTCCTTGTATCCGATGGTGTTGAGTGTTATGGCTTTTTTTGTATTTCCTTCTATGTTGAATGTCTTGACTTTCCACGTGAAGTGGGTTGGAGGGATGGTGATAAGCAAAAATGCAGTCTTTGATAGGCTTTGAATTGTTTCAGAATATCTGTGCGTACTTTTTCTTATGATTAAAAAAATATTGGTACTTCAAGATGTCAATATTCACTCTCAAGACCACAACGTTCATAACTAGCATATCTGGATTCTTATGGTGCAGTTATACACTACGTAGATTCGATTGGTGCTATTTAATGCTTTTGAGTATCCATATCTTTCCCATAAAATTAAATTAAATGATCTGGCATTCTGACTAACATTAATAAGCAATAATCTTGTAGAGGTTTAGACTTTAAAAGTGAATTTTTTGGTTTCCTTAAATGTGCTTTAATTTAAACAGTTTCATTAGTTAGCTAGCTACTCTTCCTCGGCTCAGCTCTGACTCTTCAAAAGACCTCATCATCCTAAGCTGTAAGAAAAAAAGTGACAATCTTTAGCAGGTTGAAGCCATTATATTATATGGAGCATCTAGCTCTAGCCTTCATGCAAGTATGTTTCTCAGGCTTTTATTTCCCTATTGGTGTTATTATAACATCAATGCAGATGTTCGACACATCATTAATTCCACTTGATTATTGTAAATTCGGGTGCTTTTTTCTCCTTCTTTCTCTTATATTTGACCTCATTCCTCTTCCGATCCATAAAATATGCACTCTGGGCTCTGGCATGGAGGCTAGCAGTATTTGTATATATTGGGTAAGTTTTGAATCCAATTGCCAGCTCTGCAGATTATTTAGCATTTGTGCTTTTGTTTTCTTAACATTTATTTTGTGGTTTATTTACTTGAGGATTCTTATTTAATCTTCTTTCACAAATTCCGTGGTGTTCTTTCCTCACTGAATTACAATAAATTGGTCACATGTTTCAGGATAGGTTGTCAATTGTTGATGGTATTGGCCCACCTCTCTTGGCTTGATCCATTCCCGTGTTGTCCTTGGTCCACCCCATTTAATAGCTTGGTCTCCTATTAATTGCCCCGACCCAATTATGGCATGTGTGCCTGTCCAAGTCCATCCGCCCTTTGTCCGATACCCAGCCCGTGACTCTGTGTGGCCCTTGTTTATATTGTCTGGTTGTTTCCAGAACCTCCTATTTGACCCTCCCTTTCTTCTCTCTATCCGATGAGTCTCTCAGTGTGTTTCCCCTTTCCTAGAGTGAGAGAAAGAGTCTGTGTCATCTGTGTGCTGTGCTCCAGCCAGCCTCCGGTGATACCTTGGGAACCCTTAGTTGGGCTTCACTCTGGTTGGGTTGTGGGGGTTTCTTCTCGGGTGGGTTCTTTGGGTGTGGTCTGGGGGTTTGGGGTACCATATGAGAGTGTAGATGATTGATGTCCTTCATCTTCCCTGACTGTAACCTTGGTGGTGAATGTGAGCTGGCCCATCGGGCTGTTGGTGATTGAGGTCTGAGCTGGTATAGGATCCTTACATCAATGTTGAAAATTAAACTTGTTTTTGAACCTAATTACTATATACTCCATATTTAAGTTGGTGTTTGAAAGAACCCAAGTAGTAGAAAAGTGTAGAACAAATAAATTCTAGAACTACTCTAAAATGTGTGGTCTCTAGAAGTCTACTTTAAATCATTAATTATACTTTTGTATTAGTATAAGAAGCAATTAGAGGTGGGTCTGTGAAACCGAAAACCGAAAACCGAATAAAAAAGGGGGTTTTGACTCTAATATTACTAAAAATAAGTAATGGACAAAAAAGGGACCTTGTTTCTTAATTTCCAAATAAGGGACCTTGTTTCGGCGTAGCTTTAGACACTCCGCAATGTTGTTGCCTTAATGTTGTTGTATTCCGTAAGAATGCATTCTCTAATCAACTAATCATTAATGCTTCTTTTCTATTTTAAACTTATTTCTCATTTCTTAGGAGATACATTATGTAAAAAAAAAAGGATGACACCCCATCCCTGAGGGCCCCCCAACACCGACCGGACGACACGATGAGAGGATGTAAATTGGACTATAATCACAATCTGACAGATAGAGAGTGGGGCTCTGTCCCCGGTACTTGCAGAAGTCCTATGCATTTTTCAGCATAGTAACCCCTCATCGCAGTTGCCGGGATTCGAACCCGAGACCTAACCCTTGTGGCACTCCCTCGCTACCAGTTGAGCTACGCCCACCGGTAGGAGATACATTATGTAATTGGATATGGAATTATATGTGTATTAAGTATTTAATTTTTGACACTATAATTTTTGAGCTTCGCTGGAGTTTCGCCGGAGTTGGTCAAAGTTCGCCGGAATTAGTCAAAGTTCAACCGAGGAGCGTAGAACGCGCTTAAGCTCACTTAAGGTGAGGATGACCGACTATATTGCTTATAATCTTTGGGTTAATTTCATGAGATTTCCTAAATGAATACACAATGTGATTTGCATGGATTATTAATGGTTAATAATGCCTAAATGAAATTACTATTGAATATAAGTATAGTTTGCATAATATACAAATTTATTGAATAAATTGTGTATGTTTATATGTTATGAATATGATGGCTTGATAGTAGTATCAACCATAAACCCCATTTGTGATAAGTATGCTTTTATTTCATGAGAAGAAGCCATGAAAGAATAAAAGTGATATTTTGATATTAAGGCCAAATTACATATTGAATGAAGAATTATATTGAAATGAGTAAATAACTAGTATTGAAATATTAGTTGGAATTGTAGTTGAATAATAGATGAATGGATCCTAAGAAATTGAATTGTAAAGAATCGGTGATTATTGAGCTGGGCTCTGGACCGATGTAGATAACGGTGATTATTGAGCTGGGCTCTAGACCGTAGTAGATAACGGTGATTATTGAGCTGGGCTCTAGACCGTAGTAGATATCGGTAATTATTGAGCTGGGCTCTAGACCGGTGTAGATGACGGTGATTATTGAGCTGGGTTCTAGACCGTAATAGGTAACGGTGATTATTGAGCTGGGCTCTAGACCGTAGTAGGTAACGGTGATTATTGAGCTGGGCTCTAGACCGTGGTAACTAACGATGAATTTACACTAAACGAACAAAGTTAACTATGATATGATAATACCCTGGTTTGAGGGTCTTGGAAATTGAAACATTGATTATACTTAGTATAGTTGTCATTGTACTTGTCAAATGCTTCCAAGTACTGACCTCCCCTTCACGGGGGAGGCCACCTCACAGTTTCAGGTAGGAGTTGAGCTTGCTACCAGTGCCCGTTGCTCCGGGAGTGTTCAAGGAAGGAAGACGTGGTTTGTGCTTCCTCCGTTCCTGTTTTAAAAACAATTATGATAATGCTCATGGATATTATATTTTTGAATAATAATTTGGGGGCTTGTATGCCCATGGTTGCCAAAGTGTGGCACGAACACTTGTATTAAATGTTTTCGCTGCTTTAAATGAATATTTTACATTATGTTTGTTTATGGATGTACTATGTGTGAACGATATCCCAGACGCCTTGTATAGTATGGATGTGTTGGACTGCAGTTGACTATTCATACTGTACGGCGGATTGTTGACGTGTCCGGATAGGTCCGGGGCGTGACAAGAGCACTGCTCTGTTATTCGAGATGCGCGAGAGAGATGAGTCTTGGCTCCCCATGTTGCACCGATACTTCACCTCGATGTTGTATCCGCGTATCCGATACGTATCCGTATCCGATACTCACCGATACGCGTCATGTACGTATTGGGTCCGTATCCGTTATGTAATAAAAGTATCGGGCTTAATTTTAAAAATACCGATACTTCCGATACCCGTATCCGTGAACCGATACGCGTATCTGACCCTATAACCCCTCATTTGATACACGACATGACGAAAATTTAGTAGCCGCCCAAGTGACCACAACATTTGAAACATTGATAAAGATGGTTTCGGGAGTATGGAAAATAATGGAATACTATAATTTGTCATTTCATTACTTGATGAGCTTTAATTGAAACAAGACATAGATGTAAATACAAATAGAGAACAAAAAAATGTTATTTGAATTTAAATCAAAATATTAGTACTTTTGTTTTTTAGTATTTTTAGACTAATATTTGAATTTTTTTTTATAAAAGTTAATTTTTTGTACTATTATTATTTTATTTATGAACCCCTGAATTATATATATTTGCAAATTTTACCCTATATTTTTATTATTTATAAGTATACCCCGTACCCGTATGACCGTATCCTATAATTTTTGAAATTGCCGTATCGCCGTACCCGTATTCGCGTATCCGCGTATCGGCGTATCCGTATCCGTGCAACATAGTTGGCTCCAAAAATGTAAGGTTGAGATATTTAGTCCCTTTTTTGTCTTTTTTTTATCGTAGTCCCTTTTTTGTCTTTAATAAAAGTGGTCTTATTTTTGTCAAAGTCAAAAGTCCCTACTTCTATTTTTGTCATTTTTTCAAAACGACCAAATCGCAAGAAAATCGAAACCGAACTCAAAAAAACCGAACCGGACCGTAGTTGTTTGGTTCAAGAAGCATCCATAATAGCTTCAATTAGGTAGAATTTTCTCTTATTTTGTCAGTTTTATACGGAGTATGAATTATGAGATTTTAAGATTTATTTTTCGAACCAAGTATTTTTTGTTTAACGTATTTGTTTACTTTCACTATATAATTTTGTAAGAATTCATTTGACTGGAATTAGAGATAGATATCTAAACTTCCGAATTTTCAGTGTGTGTGTCCTGTGGTGTGTTCTTGTGGTTTGTGTGTGTGTGTTCATGCCCTGTGTTTCATTGACATGTGCTCTGACGCTCTGTTTGTGGATATTTATAATTAAGCTTCATGCCTGCTATTTCACTTTTATCTGTATCCCATCTACAGCTTTGAAAATGCTGGATCTCTACTAAAGTTCAGAAGTTTGAATGATGTACTAGTAC